CCTCCGAGCATCGAGCCCTCGCAGACTCTTCGCATTAACGCTTTTATTGCGCTTCCTGCCGGTGCTGAGAGCGGAGAAGAAAGTGGGTTCACAGTGTGAGTCGGATTTCACGGCTCAGCCTGGCAAAACAAAAAAAATCTGTCTCCACACGCACACACGATCCTGTTTTCGTCTCCTACACATGGCGAGGGCTGTCACTAATCACGGTAATGATCCCATGTGGTTCTGTTTAAGTGATGTTGGGGTAGTAGGGAGCTGTTCTGCAACACATAACTGCACCGTGCGCATCCCAAACAGTTTGATTTGTAGAAGCTTTGTGCAGATTTTGTTGTTAGAACTCCTCTCAATTATTTTCCTGCAGCAGTTGATAAAATGTGGGCATGTGAGGATTTAACAGCTTTTTCTCACGCTGCACAATAACAGATGCTGATTTGCCCTTAAGCACGACTCCTCACTGCAGTTTGCAACTGTGGAGAGAGCAGCTGTTAAGGAAATAAACCGCCTTCATGGAAACTACTCAGCTACTGAGCAACAGGAAATTAGCTTAATGATGCGACGGAGTTTGTGCAACCCATTGCCACGTCAGCAAATTGGGTGACAGGGAGGCAGTTTAGAAGACAAACTGTTGCATCAGAATGCAGAAGAGTGTGAAGATGCACACAGAGATAAGGAGAAATTCAGAGGAAAGGGAGAGAAAAGGTGGGTGGAGGTCATGAAGTGCATCAGAGAGGCAGTGTCGGGAAATGCACCAATGCTAGCACCTCAGGGGAGGCCACTTTCCCCTCACATTTAACTGTTTTTACTGTATATTGTTCCTCCCTGAGCCCCAGAGAGAACAGCAGCAGCGATTTCTAAACCTGTGAACTCGTCATAGCTTCCATGGATTGTGCTATTATGCTGGTTCTCAACCTTGTCAGCATCAGCCGAGGGAATACACCACTTCTCATTCCAGCTAGTACCTGCTGCTGCTGATATCGCTGACATTTTTCACCCGCTGAGGAACTAATCAGTCGAATCATTCCTGGTAATACAAACACCTGCTGCATTTTGAAAAGGTCAAAGATTCTATGATTGAGCAGTTATTGATAAACGAACACGTGGTGAGTGCAGGTTACGGAGGTGAAAAGGTGATTTTAATTTTCCCTTTCACTCCGTTTGATTTAATCGGAAAGGTTTGCAGACAGAGTCAGCCAAACTGATCTAATAAACTGACACAGGCAGAATATTCAGTGGCCAGCCAACAATGGTAACCAAGTATCCCCTCGTGCCTCGCTGCAGTGACAATGGGCTGCCATTATGTTGTTGTATTAACTGTCTGTGGTTTCAGGAGAGAAGGTAACAATCTCTAATAAGTGTTCAGTTCATCCAAATGACAAATATTTGAAAATTTGATTAGATTTTTTCAATGTTCATCACAGAGAGAGAAGTCTTTCATTATTTAGCTTAATTCCTGATATAAATAGTCACCCCCAAATCCCATAACAGCACATTGCCAACCCAAGACTCGCATGTCTCAAGGTGTGAAAGGTTGTGAAACTTCCATGTCAGGAAACTCTCTGAGGAGAGATTTCAAGTTCTAAGTACCTGATTACTGCCCTCTTCAAGGAGGAGGTGTACCACACTGGTGTGGTAGGAACTCAGCATCAGTCAGTCAGCTGGGAAGACGACTCTTGGATGAGAGCTGAAATATCTGAAAGAAACAAAAAGGGAAGTTCAGTCACCTTTTACCGAAGGATTACCGCGACCTGAACAAACCAGAATCTGCTTCAACTAAATCATGGGTTAAAGTTTGCTGGTGAAACATCCTTTGTTAGCGTTAGCTAAAAAATTTGCTTCATTAAAACTGAAAAACTTTGATAAACCAACATTACATTAGTTTACTTTCTGTATGAATTAGGTTTGTCAGAAAACATAAATAAATGAGACCCTCTAATCGGTAGCGCCTAGCCAAGCAGCGTAGCCGTTTGCCATCATCCTGGCTTCTGATGCCCCGAGAAATCATGCAATATGTGGTTAAGGTACTTTTTAAAACACATATCTGAAGATAATGTCACAGCAAATGGACTGGCAGACATTTTTTTTCTCATGCAAAAGTCATAGATGGTAACTGGTAGCAAATTTAGAGAGGAAAACTATTATCACAGACTTAAAATAAGGGTCTTTGTGTTGCAACCCATTCAGTCATTGTGAAGTATTGAGCATAAGTCGTGGCTAAATCTGACAAATCTTTACTTGACTGTCCGGATCCCCGAGTTTTAAACTATTTAAGATCAGCTCGCTCACATTTCATGTCAAGAGAAAAAATACTTCTCACATTACTTGTGTCAAACATTCCCATTCGTGAATATACCGTGTGGATAGAAACGAATGTTATGTAACGAATACACTCCTTATTTACAAGCAGGATTCTTTCATTAAATGTGTATGTGTGAGTTTAAACCCACTCAGCTGGATGTCAGCATGGGAATTTGTTTCTGCCTCAACATTCAACATCTGTCTCTCCCTAAGACCACAGAATACACACATTCAGTGATGTGTTTGCCTCAGTCGTCCATTTGAAAGGCAAACAACGTGATGTTGAGACTTATTCAAATATCCTTTTTTATTCAGAACATTATGCTCTGTAAACATCCTGTGTGCACCATGAGGGATGAGCGGTCCTGCTATCTGCATCTGCTTTTTGTTGAACATGCAAAAGTGACTTTTTACTTCGACATTCTGAATTCTGAAACACTTTTGTTGACTTATACTCACAGCAAACGCTCTAAGAACTATGCAAATGGGATGAAGCACCTCTGCAGAGTTTCTGGTGACGACATGCACGAGTTCCCACAGTGACAATAAAAACCGTGGCTGTGGCCAGTTTTAAGATACCAGCCAGAGCTTCAGCACGTCGATCACAGTCTGTGAGGACTTTATGGACTATCACTGGCTATTTTTGCAGTAATTCCTTTGGACATCACATAGTTTGGTTGCCTGCCTGCAGTTTGATTTTCCCATGTTTTTTTAATATTACTGAAAGACCAGTGTACATGCTGTGACTGAAACTGTGACATAAAACTTCACTGCACAGCAAACTTGTCTACGTTTATCTGCAGCTTCATGTTTTCCCTTCATCCAAGCAGATTAGCATAAAGTAATGCTGTCATTTCTTCAACATTAGGGACACAGTTGTTCCTCAGTAATTGGCACCAAGCATAGAGCGAGCATTAAAGTTTCCAGCTGTGCTTAAGGGCCTGTTTAAAAAAAAATCATGTCATTGAGTTAACAGAAGCAAAATGTGTGTGTGGCAGCTCATGACACTCCCTTCAGCCATTGTTGTCTTTGGAGCTGATTAGAAAATCTTAGCAATCCAATGGAATGACGAAACCGCTGGTTGGCTCGTCAATGCACTGTACCTTAGTGGTGAAGAGGAAGCTGAGTCATGAGGGATAACTCCTGGTTTACTGATCAGTCAACGCCCCCACCCTCACTTCAGGTCATGAACTGTAGGTTACGAGTAACAACAACAACAAACACCAGCAGCTAGAATGAGTCTCTTCTAGCCGAGCTTACTCTCCCAGATCAGGTGAGAGGTTCAGATATCCAGAAGTAGTTCAGAGCAACTGCCGCTCCTTCGCATTAAAAAGAACCAGTGAAGATGTTCTGGCTACCTGATAAAGATGCTCCATGGGTTCCTCCATTTAGAGGTCTAACAGGAGGGTCAGCTGAGCGAAGGCCTCTGTGCCAAACCAGGACAGGATTATGTCTCCTAGCTGTGCTGGAAACCAATTTGGATCCTCCACAACAAGCTGGAAGAGGTTTCTGGGAGGCCGAGCATCTTTGCTCCCTTTGCTTCCACCACGACCCTGAAGGGAATGAATGAATGAATACAGACCAAATTAAGTAAAGCTGGACCTTCCCAAAAACAGAGCAGTAGTAAGTTCAGGGGCCTCATTTATCATCAGTGCATACGAACATTCCCAACCAAAGATCAGGTTTATCAGGGTTATCCACTGGCTGGACGTTGGGTATTAATTCGTCCTCCAGTTGCATCATTTCTCTTTTATGTGCTGTGATGATTTTGGCACTGAGCTACACATCAAACCACTTTATAAAATTTCTGCTGCCGATCTCTCCTCTGACCCAACAGAAATAACTGCGGTAGTTATCTTGTCCCATGTAGCACCAAACAATAGTTTCTGGTTTGCTTCAACCTCACTGACAAAAGCCTCAATTTCAGTTTCCGAAAAGTTCCTCTTTGTCGCCCTCTTTGCCGTGATGATTAAAGGTGAGGGAAGAAAAATATTCACTTGTTTTATAAAGACTCGTGTTGTTGCTGTATTTGGTTGTTTGGAGGCGTTTCTGAAGGCAAAGTGCTCGAGCACGTTGGTTAGGAACAAGTGGGATTTACCAACACTGATGACTTACTGATGTGCATACGACCCACATATGCATGTTTGATGAATACGGATTGTTTTGTACTTACGCACTTTCTAAATTTAATTCGCCAGACAGGACTTGAACCTTTTCTACACACTGATGATAAATGAGGCGCCAGGAGTCCACCTTCCTCCTCAATGTGCATCCTCATGAAATTAGAACAATTATGTACGTTTCATTCACAGCTCTCACTAACATTTACTAAAAAGGGCAGATTCATATCTTACTGAACTGGCAGGATCCCAAACAAAGGAAAGGTCGCTGGTTTGCCACATGTCCAATATCAGGATTATATATAAAATTAAAGCTGCCATTTAAGTCCAGAAATCTAAACCTACCTGATGAGTATCAGCTCGGCATTTAAACACAAGTGGCTCCATTGTTGAGCTCCACTGCTCACACAGCCCTGTTCTGCTCTTCATGTGCTGCTGCTGCTGCTGCTGTAGAGGGTTAAAGGCACGATTTATAACCAGGTTTTTCTGTGTCAGGGATTACAACGTCTTGGAAGCCACTTGAAAGCACAGCACCTCGTTTCTCACTCCCTGCTCTCTCTCTCTTTCTCTCCATCCATCTCTCAGATCCGAGTGTACATCAACTCCATCGGGACTCCCAAGGAGTCTCACCGCCTGGACCTGATCGCCCTCCGCTTCATCTCTGTCAACTCCATCATCGACCCCTGGGTCTTCATCCTCCTCTCTCCCAGCGTGGTGCACTTTTTCTGGTCTTCAATGTGCCAGCCCTCCCTGGGACCCTCCAGGGGTTCTCTGTTTAAATCATCGCTGGCTAAAGACAGTCCTCCTGCTAACGTGGAACTGTCTCGACCAACGGAGCAAACACACATTTCTCACACTGTGGAAAACGTATGACCACAGCAGTGCTTTGTTGTTATTTGATATTTATATTTATTGGACACGGGATTGCAAAGTGTGCTCTGCTGTGTGATCGTAGATCAGCAGAGGTTGGACGGGCCACAATATGTCTCCCATGTGGATGGTGTGTGTTTTTATCTGTTGATCCATTACCCATTAGATAATGGCCCTTGGCATCTAACTGATAAGCACGTCGGAGCAGCTGGTGGCCACTTACTACCAATTACTGGGCGATTCCATCCACTTCTAGCATTGTAGCTACATATGTGCATGTCAGATGCATACGACTTCTCTGGAGCTTTCTGTTTTTCATATGAAGGCTCAACACTTTGCCTCCTTTGCTGCTTATGTTTTTTTGTAAGCAAATCAATTCAAGGAAAATGGCTGCTGTTTGAAAAGAAAAGGACCCGATGTGGCAGTGATCTGGTACAGACACGCTGCAAGTGCTGTTCAGTACATTGTGTAAAAAGTCCGTGATGTTTTGTCTTGTGCAATGAAATATGAAACTGAATATTTTTTACCTGACAACAGGTGATTGTAGCAAACATGATATCCATCTAAAGCTAAGTGAACAGAGACGGAGATCATCGGATCAGCTCGTCTAATGATGCTCAGTAGAAAGGAACTTGGTTTGGATGGATACATGTCAGATTTAAGTGCACAGATGACTATAAAAGGAGTAATTTATTACAATTAAAGCAGTGAGATGCCTTTAATTCGGCTGGAGAATCCCTACGTTGATAGAAGACGTGTTTCTGCAGGTATAAACGCTCACTTTGGGCACTTCACTGATCATCAGTGGCAACTTAAACTCATCACCTCTGAGCTTCTTGACCCGCGACTTTAACCTCTGGTCTGTTGTGGTAACCTCTTCTCCTGCGACCCGACCAGATTCCAGTTGAAGAGGTCAAGGAGCAAAAAACCCTGGAGGCAAGATAGTAAAAACTGCACACGTGGGGTAAGAGAAATAAACACAGCAAAAGTTAGATGACAAAATTTCTTTTAAATTTACACATACAGGAGATAATATTTAATAAAAAGTTCTTCATGAAATTTCATTTAAATGTTGCCTTGAAAACGTCCTATTTTAAGTAACAACAGATCAGTATTCTCACATAAAATCTGGATATAATTTTAATGCTTGTGATGTACTAGATGAATAATCAGAAATCATTTCAGTAACTAAAAAAAAAAGAAGTCCTTTATAAAGAGTACTGCCTTTGACCTTCTGAACCCCGAGCAGTTTCTGGACGTCTCCTCTCCCGTCGTATTTTAACTCAGCATGGGCTCTTTGACACTTCAATACAACGCAGAGCCACGACTAGAAGAAGTAAAGAGAACTCAAAAATAGGTTTCATCCGGTGTAACACGGGTACAATGCAATTAATCATAAGAGAAAAACGGTTAGAATTTTTGTTTTCCTGACAAAATCAAAAGTCAGACATGATTTGCCGAGGACTGTCAGACAGCTGGATACGCAGCAGTGTCTCCAGGTTCTTGCTCTGATCAATGACGGTATTTTGGCGTCTTTTGAAATATAAAAAAATCGACACTTTAAAATAACACACTTGTGATTCTTTAGTCAAATCCTTTCACAGACTAGATTGTTTATATGTTAACTAGAGGCTACCTGAATCAGTATATCCTTTGGCAGAAATGAAAACTGATTCATTTTGTGAACCGACAGATGTTTACATTCAGCGACACTGAAACAGCATGAAGCTACAGGAATGTGCACCATACTGACAAAACCACTCAAACTCTGCAGCACAGCACTACGAGTGGCTAAAAGATCTCGATGTGTAACCTCAGGCATTTGGAAATGCTCTTCAAAATAAAAAGGCAAACTTATTTCATAAGCTAACAATTTATACAGCATAAAAATATAAATACATACGTTGACTGTAACTCATTACGAAGTGGAGTTTTACAAATCAGTTTTCATTTTGTGAGAGAACTCTTCTACTCGACAGACGTCTTGCTCTTCACATTACCTCCGAGTTATTTGGAAAAACTATGAAAAGACTGACTCAAGGTTCAAGTGCCATTTAAACTGCATTAGTTTAACAAGGGGCCATCTTTAGACATCCATTAAATCCACGTCTTTCCGTGTTTATACGAGATGAACGCTGCTCTAAGCCCAAATGGAAAATGTTGTGATTGCAGCCCCTGATTATATCCTAAAACTTTAAGGTTCAGCTATCAGTTAAAGTAAATCCTGTTTGCTTTCAGCTCCTCCAATAAAACGTTTTGTCTTAAAAAAATCTCAGTTAGTAATTCTGCCGCCCACCAACGTAGCGCATCATTACATAACGATGATGTCAGCGCAAACCGAGCCGCTCACATCAGATGACGACTGAGTTTCCTGGAAAAAAGCAGGTTGTTTTCTCCACTTTGTTCCTGCACACTGGTAAAAATTTACATGTGGTGGATTTGTACCGGTTTAAATTACACGCTACGGCGAATTGTTAGTATTACAGCTTCTCTCCTTAAAAAAAAAAAAAAAGAATCCAGTTTCACAAGTGTCTGGTGAGAAATTGAGCTACTATAAAGTTTTTGCTGGGATAAATCTCCAGGAATAAATCTGTCACAAGAGACACGCTCTACCTGGAGCGACTAGAGCTGCATCAAACCAGGGGCCACGTCTAAATTGAAGATTTAAATCCAGGTGTGTACAAAGTGAGAAAAAAGTTCTCAACGTGTCAAAAGTCTGTCAGGTTATTTCAAAGTGTCAGCGGTGTGTGAGAAAGGAAAAGGCACTGATGATGTTGTTTGGCTATTGTGTTGTTGTTGTGAGAACAGCAGTTTATTGCCTCTGCTGCTCTATTGTTGCATCAAAATGCTCAGTGTTTACGACAGTGACTTACTGCTTCCTGCCCGTGTCATGTGTGTGTGCCAGTGTTGTGTTTTACAGCGGGGGTGTGTGTGTGTGTGTACTGCTGTCCATGTGCAGAATGTGTATATATATGTGTGTGTGTGTGACAGACAGCAAACGTAATGTAAACGAGTAAAAGAAATGTAATGATGTCAAACCAGAATGCTACCTACCTGGATGTCTCTGTAATTGTAAAGTACTGTACATGGAACTGAATGCACTGAGCAGATGAGTGTGAAGTGTGTGTGTGTGCGTGTGTGTGCGCGTGAGTGTGTGTTTTATGGCTTGTGTAAATAAACATCTCATCCACCAAATATTCTGTCCAACCTGCTCTGTTACTATTTTGCTCCACACACAGTTCGTGGATGGCTTCCAGATGTGGAGTAGAGTCAAGTCCTTCAATTAAACATGCACGTTTCTAGAAGAACGTTCCCTCCGTGTATCATAAGACAGGCTGGTGTATTCATGTTGAGCTCTCCATCTTTTGCAAACAACACATTTCTGTGATATCAGGTTGTTGAGCAGTGAACACACCAGCCTGTGGGGCCCTTCGACAGCCAATCACAACACCACATTATCACCATTTCCTTCGATGCATCCTGTTCAGCGCGGTAGTAGAAAGTAGTGCTGCAGGATTTATTGTTCAACGCTGTGATGTCGCAACATCATTGGAAGTGTAGGGGTGAAGTAAGTTAACTCAAACACACCACGCTGCAGCTTATTTTGGAAACTCAACAGTTCTCATTTTCCTTGACTCGTCCACACATCTGTGATAGAACATGATTTACTCTGATTTCACAGTTCTTAGATACAGTTAAAGACAAAGAAAGCTCTCCGTGATGAGTGTCCAAAGCCAGAACTAAATGCCAAAACTATTCAGATGCCTTTTCTGGTGTTACTCCACATGAGAAAGGCTGCAAACAGCAGGAAGGAAACAGCCATGTGATAACGTTTCACCTCATCAAAGACGTGATACCTTCACACAGATACTACATAAGGTGAAGTGAGGCCATCACACACCCATTGTCTCAAGTTGACTTTCTGGAGCTGTATGAACAACTCCAAGGACTGTTTGAAACAGAGCAGTCACAGAGGAACATCCTGCAGCTACGACAGACTCATCAGCCGGACTAAAGTCTGACCGTCCGCTGCATAACTGAGGACTAACAACTGAGAAGTCGCTGCTTGCAAACAACATTTCTCCTGATGGTCATGGAGTGAGAACATCGCAGCAGGGATGACAGAAGCGTCGGCTGATGAGAGACGTCATGTGCGAACCGCAGCCAATGTGGTGAACATGTTTAAAACGGACGCCCTGAACAAATGTCAGACCGCAGTGTTCTGGCCACAGACTTCATCTAACCGTTGCCAAGTTCTACCCACATCGTATTAAGCAGTTTCTTTATATCACATTAACGCTTGTAGAAAAGACAAATATAACAGCTTCAGTCATCCCTATAGGAAGAAACTCTCGAACATCTCAAAGATTCACTTTTTAACCTCTGAACCTTCATCTATCGGTTGCACAGCCTCCATTTTTCATTTCTGGAATAATGAGGCACATCGTTCTGTCAATAGTTTTCTCATTTTATGATGACAGACGGATGGTTCAGACCAATTTGACATTTATTTGGGCCTCCTATTAAACACGGCCTCTAATTTTAAATACAAATCAAGCGACATGATTCGCTGCACAGCTTTTGTTTTGCTCGCACTTTTTTTATTTTTATCAGACATTCAGTCTAGACGGTTTCTTCTGTTGCTGTCAAGGAGCACTAACACTATGATGAGTTGCTGTTTGGCTGATATCTTGTTTTGTTTTTCATCTGTCTGTGGGCAGACTGGCGACCACAACAAACACTAAGAGTTCATTTGGGTGATTAGAATCAGGCGCCTATGTTGCCTCCCTTCGTCCAACCTTTCCTTTTCTCTGCTCCCCTATTGAACGTGAAATAATTCAGTTTATGGAGTAATGATCCAGGGTTGGAAACGTTAAATGCCACCATCCATTTATACGCCCCTCTGTTCTCTCTCTCTCTTTCTTTCAAGCCACTCTGCAAATTAATCTCTCGCTGCCTCCAAGTTTCTTTTCATAATTCTCTCCAGCAATAAAAAGCTCAGAGCCCCTTGGCATCAGGAACTGGTGTGAACGCTGCTGGCGAGTGCGTGTCCATTCATACAACACTATGCATATTACAGGGTACTCGTTGGTCAGATGGTCACAGAACAACACGCAGGACTCTGGTTTCTGAAAGACTGCAGCTCGTTCTTTTAAAGACTGGGCTGAAGCACCTGTCAGCGATTATTCCTGAACTGAGCCGAGTGTCGTGGAACAGCCTGCTCGTCAACCTGTCCTGAGCACAAGAAGAACTTTAAACTTCCAATTGTATCTGGGCACCACCGGAGGAAAGCATTGACAAATATAAACACCTCCAAAGTGTGAAAGCAGCTACATTAATTATCATCAATTTGCCTTGTGCTTCAGCTCCAGAGTAAACATCACCTTCTGCATGAGTTTCAGTCCAGCTACATTTGTTAGGATGTGCTTCTCTCGCAGCCACATCTGATCTTGTCACTGTTTTTACGCTATCGGTGGACCGGTCATCTCAGGGAGGCCAAAGAACTCGATGTTCTAGAGCAGGGATCTCCAACTCCGGTCATCGTGAGCTACTGTCCTGCAGGTTTTCCGTACTGCAACACACCTGACTCACACTAATGGATCTCCAACAGCTTGTCAAGTTCTACACAAGTCTGATCCATTAATGTGAGTCAGGTGTGTTGCAGTACGGAAAACTTGCAGGACAGCAGCTCACGAGGACCGGCGTTGGAGATCCGTGCTCTAGAGGAGGAAGGCTCGGCCTGCATACAGAACTCTAGTACAATATAACATATATACATTTAGAGTCCAACACAGACTGCATTGTTCCAGAACTAAACTTTCTAAGATATTTGACTCATATTTCTCCATGTGTAATGGATGCATTACAGCTGAAAGGTCACCATCACACTCACTCTGGCACTTAGAAGCACCAAGTCATTTCTAGTGTGACATATTTAATTGGTTTTCCAAACAATATTGAGCTAACATTCAGCCAGAGTGTAATTTGGCCCTGACAGAACGAGAGCCCTTCCCTCTCGTCAGAAGCACGCTTTCAAAGCATTAATCATGTTCTTGTTTCAGGAGATGCTTTCTGCTGCCAAGACGGAACAGATTCTTTATAGCAGAGGGACTCGAAGCTACTTCCAGAAGGTGTGGCGGCCCTTGTTGCTTGCTGAGACTGAGCTATATAACGTTGCTGCTACGCTGTCCCTTTATGTAAACTTGTATTAGCAACGTGGACTACTTGCACTTAAGATGCTCTTAAGTGTCATTTCTTTCCAGTTATCCCAGTGGCTGTAGATGTGATCACGAGTGCAAATATATGTGGGATTAAAGGGCATCTGTCTTCTTGTTTGACTCCAGTTATGTAACGGAGACTTCCTGTGTGTTTGCATGCTTTTTAGATGAGTCAAGAGTCTTTCCCATGACAGAAACATACACAACGGTAACCACGATGAAGCGTACATTCACCTCAGCCTGCGTGCTCCTCCACTCATTTCAAAGGCTAATTCTTGTATTTTTTCTATCTTGGTCTCATGGTCAGAGTTGTCTATATTCTGACACAATATTTTTACATTCTCTCTTTTTGTGGTGCTTGAACCGATATCCAGTGTTTCTCCGTCTGTCTCTAACATGGAGCTATAAAGTACGCAATTATGAGAATCACTCCAAGTTCAAACCACTCTAGTTGTACTTTAAATATTTAAATTCATACCATAATTCCTCAAAATAATGACTTAGGGACTTCAATTACCTCAGCTGCAGAAGGTAACAGGCTGTTTTTTGAGGCGGCTTTATGCTGGAAGCAGACTTTTATGTCCCTGTTTCATAAGAAAAATTGGCCATTTTCTAATACTTGTTTTGATTTTCCCTGGTGAAGTTACTGCATTAAAGCTGTTAATCTGTTTCAAACTTTAAGCCCTCGAGCGTTTCGGTGGACAGAAACGGTTCATTTGTTAACGCGGCTTTCACTGTGACACATCTGCAGGCAAACTGCATGCAAAAAAACAGCTGGATGGGATTAAAGAAAATAAAAACAGAGTGGATCAGAATGCATGAATCACACCAACACCGGAGCGATCCAGAACATCACAGCATGATTATTGACAGAATTGTACATTATCGCTGTGGTGGTATCCGGACAGCAACTTTGATAACCGAATATTCACCCGCCGCCACCCCCAAAATGTACATTTTATTTTACTTGACCAGTTAATGGTCATAGAAGTTTGGTGTAAACTTCTCCGTCTGACAGTTAAACCTTCAATCTGGTTAAACTTGCAGCAGAACTCATCATTAAGACAATCGTTTCATCCATCTTGCCAAACTCAACCACCTCCAGCAGAACCAACAACAGGACCAGAGAGTCATGAATCAGGCTGAAATCTTTACCGTTGACAGCTCACGACGTTTAATTACACTCTGACAGAAACGTCATTTCCTTTATAATTACCCATAATTCACTATATATCCTGGTCGTTTCATGTCAATTAATGTCCCACCAATAAATGATTAGCGTCCAGTCGACGGAGCAGACATCGGGAACTCATCAGCTTTAACTCGGTTTGTTCCTCATAATTGATTAGTTGATTAATTAACCCTGCCTGGCTAATTGGATAATCTCTTGTCTTGCATTTTGATTAGGTCACAGGACGGAAGGAAGGAGCTCACGTGTGTGTTCGGCTTGAGTTTGAGAGATTCCAGAGAACGACCCTGCGGGTGGATTCACACTTAGCCGGTGAGGCTGACGCTTCTTCTCAGCAGCAATTTCATCACGAAGCAGAACGCAAACAAGGCAGGCAAAGAGCAGACTGGCTCTAAAAGCTGCATAATGAGTTGGAGGGAACGGAAGAGGAGTAATGACACAAACGACCAGGAAATGACAACAATTCAGAAAAAATGTGATGTGTATCTTTTTCCACATCTGAGAATATGGGAAACGGCCACATGTTTTCTCCCGTGTGAATCATAATCTCACAGCTTGTGGTTTAGAGTTTTTAAAGTCTGAAGTTCTAGCTAACATGAATAAACTCTTTTGTTCTTTTCATTCATGGCTCCCCAGCTTCAAAAGAAGGATTTAGAGAAACAGCTTTGTGTTCAAGCTGAAAATGAGAATATTTTTGTGCCTAATTATTATTTTGTAGTTTAGACATGTTACGTTTGACCAAAGACATCAGAAAAACAATAATAATGTTCCTGTTTCTGACTGCTTTA